CAACCGGAGCGCAACCGCCCTAGTGTTTGGAAAAAGGAGAATGTGGCGCGCCCAGCGTTTTCTACACGTTTTTAGGCGCTATATGTGAATCCGGCCTTTCTCTGTAATGCTAGGCCGTTTTGATCTACATGTGGCTAAACGTTTGCGGATCTATTATGTTTAACACAGATCTTCTTCGATTGTTTTTGGATCTGATGATTCCGTACTATTTCAGAAGGTCTGTAATAGGGTTGGGCGACGTCTACCAATTTGGCATCAGACGATGTCTATAGTGAAACATCACGATGGACGATGATATCGGGAGGGAGTGTGTGTGTGTGTGTGTGGGGGGGGGGGGTATTTTCGTAATATTCTCATTTTCCACTACATATTTTCCTCTATATCTTATCAGCAATTTCGAATTCGGCACTCTCTACAGCAGCTGAGCACAGAGCGAGTCTATGGAGCGAATGTACAGTGACATGACTGCCAGATTCAAACTGCGTGCTTGCGCTATGGCTCTCTTCCGGCTTAATAATAACAGTTACAGCGCCAAATAAACATGAATGAACATCTGAAAGTATGTTAAAAGATAGACTACAACTTATCGAAATCTGTATCATGTCACATTGATTCGCTCAATCAGCGTTTCAACCGTGGAAAGACGTCAGTTAAACAGCTTGTAATCAATGTAATGTATCGTCATATTTACCTCAGAAAACCCACATAAACTTGTTAGTCAGCTAGAAAAAATAACTCTAGAGAGGAGCATTTTGCTAAATATGTACACCATATTACATATGCATTATAATCTTAATGTCCTTCAATATTTAATGCATGCATATTTGAATCAATCTGGCAAGTTTTTATGACAGCCACCATTTAAATGTTTATATTTCATATAATCTTCTTATTATAAAAATAAATAAAAGTGTAATTTAAGTGTTTGTATGGCTACAAAACAGTTCATTATTACCTTCATTTTAGGCTAATGAAGCCTATTGGCTACAACTAGACTCCCATAGTTTACAGCATTTAAGAGATTTGATTCCCTTGAGAAAAATGGCCATTTATTGTAACCGATATCCAAAATAATCGATATTGAATCGAAATCGAATCGAAAGCTTGTGAATCGAAATCGAATCGAATTGTGAAATTTGTCTCAATACCCAGCCCTATAATATATTATATCAAAACAATACATTTTTAGTTTGTAAAATACACAATGGTGTCTATGGAAGCAGAAATAACAACCCATTCAAATAATTGACGACGGTTTTTATTCATATCAGATAGATACTGTGTAAATAATTTTAAAGTCAACTCTATTTTTCTCGGCCACTTACTTTCATGTATTTTGGGAGAAACTGATGAATTCCCGCACTGTAATAAATCCAACAGACAGAAATATCTGAACTACGGCCCAAACACGGCGTCCATCTCACGTTACAGATAAAGATCTTTATCTTTCCTTTTTTTAAACGACAAAACAAACTCACTAACACATTTGAGAATCGGAATATGAGAATGGTAAGCATCATGATATGGTAAGGGGGGTGATGCCATCTAAACCTCGTTATCTGACGATGATATCGTCCATCGCCGAACCCTAGTCTGTAACAGTAATGCCTCCTTCCGTATAACAGCGAAGAGTTAAAAGTTGACCGTTTTTTTTGAAAAGTCATTTGCAAGAGTCTTCAAA